CAGAGGAAGTCTATTGTTTAAAACCATTTACGCACATCACAGAGAAGGTAAGGTAAGGTAACGTTATTTATACATGGTATTTCGTTCAGGTACTAAAGGAATAACAATAAAAAGCTTGCTTTACAAGGAGGCTGTGCTAAAATATTACATATCTCTAAATTAAGGTTTTTAATTTTCCTTTAAAAACATATTTAAAGGGATGTCAATTACCGCAGTCAAGCTGTTCCACAACACATTTCCGCTATGAGAAAGGTTTCTTTTATATAATTCGGTTTGGGGTTTTGGAACAGCGAGCTTGTATTTATTCAGAGGCACCCAGGGCCGTTCCATTCATGTACAATTTTCGAAGCTCATCTAATAAAATCCCTACGACTCTCCCAAGACGGTTTTTTGGTGATTTCATTTATTTTTTCGATCCGGTTTTGTTTTTTCATTTTCGTTTTCACGACTTAATTCGCAGCGAGCTTTGGAGCTGCTTCGATCAGTTAAATTCCACTGCGTCAAAACTCGGAGGAACCGTTTCCTACTGGCTGATCTTTATCGTTTCATTGGTCGCAAATTATCTCATTGTTATGTCATATGATCGTTTATAAAACGCCAAACTTAAGAAAACCGATAATTTTTTCCATCGCAAACATGGCCTCATCTGATCTGCTGTATCCAATATTCTTGATACCTTGGAACCTGTCACACTTGCACACCAAGGCGTTTCTTGTCGGTGGAAAGCTTGGTCAGGCCTTGTGTAAGCTTGTCGCTTTCTTTAGTTCCGTTTCCATTGATGTTTCGATTCAAAATCTGATTCTGATAGCAGTGGACCGCTTTAGAACCGTGGTATTTCCACTCCGTTCACCACTCATCACATCCAAACTGTGTCCCTTCTTCATTCTCGCTACATGGATAGTTGCCGTAGCGGTCAATTCGCCATACTTGATCACTAACAAGGTCGTTGAATACCCAGAGGGAACCTTGTGTGTTATTGAATAGGAGAACGTATTCGGACAGTCATTGTCCCATACCAGTTTCGTACTAGCTTCCTGCTATCTGTTTATATACATACCTGTGCTGTTGCTAGTCATTCTTTACTCCATCATTGTTATCAAGCACAAGACACAGGCACACCAAGGTAAACAGTCCGCTAACAGTCAGCAACAGCGAGACAGAAGAAACCATTTCTCGTGTAGTTTCTGGATATACTATAAAGTCACCATTTATATAGCTTACGCGTACTGTGCTATCAACCCGATTATCTGTTTCATGTTTAGCAGTAATTACCGAAAAGCTCTTAAAAGACTCATAAAATGTTCTTTTGTACGGGCGTAGGTCGTAAAAATGTGGTTTTGGTTGAAGAGTTAAGAGTGCGAGGTTCGTGGAACACTCGCGAATAAATGTATCATGACTATCAATGTATTTTTAGTAGTAATTTAGAAAAGTTCTTAGAAAACTCATGAAATGTTCTCTTGTACAGGAGTAAGTCGCAAAAATGTGCTTTTGACTGAATATGTTAAGATTTAGAGGTACGTGGAACACTCTCGAATAAAAAATCACCACGACCTGCCGTTGGCGTACTTAACTGAGGTTTAAGTCTGCCACGACTGCGAAATGTGATAGTATAGGCCACGTATTGTAAAAGGTTGGGTGGTAAATAAAACTCAGGGACGGACCATTAGAAACGTTATGGGGGGGGGTATACAACTAACAACTCTTAATTACTGCAGAACTGCTAAGCTATAGAAGAGGTTCTGCCGAAAAAAAGAAAGGAATTAAACGGACGAGTATAAACATCTGTTGAAGTTTTAGCGCCACTCCAAGGTTTGACAATATTTTCGCGTCATCAAAAGAAGCAAGGAAAAAAACTACATGTTTTTGTGGCACGTACGCTGTTCACCCAAGCATAAAAAACAACACAAAAAATTTAACAGGAAGTTTAAGCGGCAAGATCTTGTCTTTTACACAAAATCGAAATAAAAATGTCCCTTTGAAATGTTTTAAATGATTTTTCATTCATTTCCAAAGAAACGACCCACAATATCGATGGTGTCCTGGAGGAAAAAAACACGACTACTGATAATGTTGCAAATTTGCTGATCTTTTTCTGTATTCTGGACGGTTAGCCAATTAGTCTTCCAATTTTTCAGCGCCAACGCAACCCTAATTTTGAGTTACAAAGTAGAATTTTCTCTATGACGATAAAAGGGAGAAGCTCAACCATCTGAACACTGCTGTGCCCGAATTTCCTTTGACGTGCCTGGCTATTCTAGATTTCAAATATTTTGATTGAGCACGAAACTTAAAGTTTTTTAGTTTTCAAAGCAGAATGACGAAAGATACTAAAAACTGATGGTGGCAAAGAACA